TACATTACCAGAGCTCCTTGTTAATTCTGTATAGTGTTTTCAAGAAGTGGCTGGTGAATTTGAACTGCCAACCTTGTGTTCGAGTGCTTATCATACCAGGACTTAACCTTACTTAGTGCAAAAGAGGCATTGGTGGTATGTTGTTTTTGCTAAGTGTTGTCAAGTTGGTCCAACCCATAGCAACCCTGTATAGGGTTTCCGAGGAGTGGCTGGTGAACCTGAACTACTGACCTTGCGGTTCAAACCAACTTCCAGCGCATTAACCCACAGCACCACACGAGTTGGTGGTCTAGAGGTAAGCAAAGCTGCCTTCCAAGCAGTTGACCTAGGTTCAGTTCCTGGCTAACATCAAGCATTTCCTTTGGACTTCTGATGTAGAGCTGTAGGATAAGCACAGGACTGCAAACCACAAGGTCAGCAGCTCAAACCCACCAGTTGCTCCTTTAGAATCTCTTTTGTTGTTGCTAAGTGCCATGAGTCAGTTCCAACTTAAAACAAGCCTGCATAGGGTTGCTGACGAGCAGCTGGTGAGCTTGAACCATCAAACCTGTGGTTCAAACTGACATTGTAGTCCAGTGCTTTATCCCTAAGTGCCACGCCAGGACTCGAGAAATCCTTTACAGGGTCATTACTAGTTGGAACTTAACAATAAGTGCAAAAAAGAACTCTTGCCAGTGCAGTCATTAAAATGCTACACTGCGAACCACAAGGTCGGTGACTGGAATCCATCAGCTGCTCCTCAGGAGAAAGATGTGGCAGTCAGCTTCTATAAAGATCTGAGAACCCTATGGGGCAATTCTGTTCTGCCCTATAGGGTCACTCTGAATTCAAATGAAGTTTGAGGGTTTTTTTAAATAGGGTATTTCAAAGCTATGGCAAATTTATATAACATTAAGGTGTACAAATGTAATCTTGGGCCTGATTGTACTTTCTTGAAATCTTTGCTGTAATTTAACACATTATTAACTACTGATTACTTATCTATAAATGGGCGATAATACCCACCTTTCAAGAACAGATGACAGTTCAGATCAAAAACTTGAGAAAACTAGGAAACGGCAACATCAATTCTAAGAACATAGGGAAAAATCTGAACCAAGTTGACATTTCTGCTTGGTGTTAAAGTTCTTTAAAGACCACAGACAGCGCACACAAATGTAGGTGGAAACAGTACATCTGCAGACACTGGCAGACAGAATTATCCGCCAAATTTGGCCACAGTTTCTTAAGATAAATAACTTTTTGGTGACGCATAGGGTTGAAATTACATAAACAGCAGAAATTACTAAGACCTAATCCCACAAGTTTCATGGATTTCATGATTTTATGCAGTCAATATTCTGACACTTGTAACAGTTTTTCCCCCTTAAAAAGAGGATGCCAGAAACAGCAAGATATTCATATCACTTGATGACTTTTGTTCAGAGTTTGAAATAAACTAAGCTTAATATTTTGGAATAAACATTCTTGAGCCATTTTTATTTAGGTCATTAAGACAACCATAATCATCTCCTTATAAGGAAAAGTTTCATTAAACATGCTAGAAAGCTGCAGTGTTTTAAAACCCAATGCTTGTAGCTTGCTATGTTAATAGTTTTAAACGTCTAGGCTTGTTAAATGAAAGCACCCTAGTTTTATCTGAGAACAAAAATCTTAAAAAGCTGACAATGGAATGTTGTTTTTAAGTGCCACTGAGTGACCCCTGTATGGTTTCCGAAGAGGTGCTGGTGGGTTTGAACTGCCCACCTTGTAGTTCACAGTCCAGTGCTTATCCTACATTGCCACACAGGAATTTCCATAATGGTGGTAGTGGTTGTGTGCTGAGTCAGTTCCAACTCATAGCAACCCTGTATAGGATTTCTAAGGCTATAAATCTTTACAGAAGAGAAAAGCTTCATCTTTGTCCTACAGATCGACTGGTAGATTCAAACTACTGAGCCTGTGGTTACCAGCTCAGCTCGTAACCCACTACAATACCAGGGCTCCTTAAGAACTTCCAACGTAATAGAAAACGCTACATAGTACTTACTAATCTTTTCCTAGAAATGATTATTCTGCTAGTTTGGGGGGGAGATACCTGCCATTGTAAAATGATGTTCAGAAAGCTCAACAGTATGAAGAGGATGAGCGGGAGTTAAAGGAGGACTCTTCTTAGTGGTCCCTAAGCTTGTTAGGGGTAATGGGGAAATCTGGGGATGGCTAATGGCCATAACATGATAAACACAATGGCACTGAACTCTACATGTGAAGAATGTTCAAATGGTAATTTGTTATATCTGTTGTTATTAAGTGCCTTCGAAATGGTTCCAACTCATAGCGACCCTGTATAGGGTTTCTGAGGAGTGACTGGTGAGCTTGAACTGCCAACACTGTGGTTCAAACTTTGCAGTCCAGTGCATTAACCTGCAGTGCCAAACCAGAACTATGCAAAAACTTGGGGTTCTTCTTCACTGTGAAACAACTAGCTACATTCTGAAAATTTCTGTAGCTGACACAACTTTTTATTGAGTTGTTATTAAGTGCATTGAGTCAATTCCAACTCATAGCAACCCTGGTTTAGGGTTTCTGAGGAATAGCTGGTTACACCTATGTTGTTGCGAAGTGCCGTCGAGTCAGTTCCGACCCATAGAGACTCTGTATACGGTTTCTGAGTAGCAGCTGGTAAGCTTGAACCACCGACTTTGCAGTTCAAACAGCTTTACAGTCTGGTGCATTAACCCACAGCGCCACACTAAAAAAAAAGTCTAAAGAATATGTATATGGAAGTTCCTTGCTAATTTTTAATTTTAGTCCACACAGCACTAAAAATCAAGATTAACATTCTCCAATGGGATTGAAATTATCATGAATTTTAACACTGGAGAATATTATCTTTCTAAATACTACATCTTTTTACCTATACCTCCCCCCGCACCTTTACATAACAACCCAACTTCTGTTTTCAAAAGTGAGATTAATGAAGTTGAAACAACTCTGAGAATGTATACCTTCCTCTCTCCCTTTTGATAATGCTAAATTTTCCTTCCTTTTAATTTCCTGATGATATGTTAATTTATTTGAGTCACAAACTTTTAAAAGTACTTTTAGCTAAGCAAAGACTTTATTTTTTTGACAAGCCTTGTTATATACCTAACTGGCTTGTTTTACTACTCACAGGACAAATCTCTAAGTCAATGAGCACCTTTTCCATAGAAAAATCTATTCCTATCTTTCATATATTTTTTGTGTCAGGGAAATATTTGTTAATCTATATAAAAAAAAAAAATCCCAAAATAAACAAAATCCTCAACCCCACTTCCATCAAGTAAATTAGGGACTCACAAGCGACTCTATAGGGCAGAATAGAACTGTCTGGGCTTCCAAAGCTATAAATTGTTACAGATCAGACTCCCAGTTTTCTCCTGCAAATCGGCTAGTGGATTTGAACCACTGACCACCAGTGGTTAGCAGCTAAGCACTTTAACCACTGTGCTGCCCACTATTTAATGAAGAGAAAGTATTCATTGATCTGAAAAGGAAAACACTCCTATTGGTCAATACATTTTTTAAAATGTAAAAGGGTAACTTTATTAAATAAATTCAAGAACATTCAGGTGGTGGTGGTGATTTTTAAAATTACAGAATAAGAAGACAGAGTGCACCAATGGCAATGGTTTATTTATAAAAAGTTCAAAAATGCTTGAGAACACAATACTTATTTCAAAGAGATTACATAAGAATACTGACTTTAATGTTCAAAATAATAAAATGTTATATGTCCCCTAGCTGACTACTAAATAGTAAACTTCTAAGTTGATCCACTCTCAAACTGACTTATTTCCCACAGTAAGTTTAATATGCTGCTATTGACATGAAACACAAGGGATTTTCAAAAAGCTTGTGGAAAAATGGAATTAACAGATAATGGAATCTTTCCACAAACCTGTGAAGTCCTCTCCTATGTAAAACACTACCTCAGGTCCTTTTCTATTTTGCCTATTTAATTATTTCTCTTTGCAACCCACCCAAGACACAAGCAGCATCCTTCTCTGAACAGTGCCAATCTGGTCAAAACAGGATCAAGACCTTGAAAGTTCTAAGAAGAGGAAATATCCCCAATCGTATTCTCAATTCTGTGTTCCCCTTTCCTTTTGGCAAGTTCTTAAATATACCTAAAATGGTATGAAAAGACACGTAAGCTCAAATAAAAAGAAAAGTATTTTGGCCTATCAATCTTCCCCTTATCAACCAGTATGCTCTTAAGTTCTCAACTGTAAACACATACAATGTTTAATAAAGTACCTGGAAACTTTGTGGTAAGCACTAGACAGATTCCTAGGGGAATGTATTAGGTAGAGGTAGACAGAAAAAATCAAGAGAAACCATTCTTATCAAAATCATTGCAATCCACACAAATGTGCTTTCATAAAATACTTTACAGTTGATAAAGTAAATTCAATTTTAAGTGGTATTTTGCCCCAAGCCCAATAATTCTTAATTTTAGTGCTCACAAAATCAATCTACCTCTAGAAAGGAAAGTACCTTATTTACCTACAGAATTATTAGAGCATGCAATCAGATCTTCCAAAAGTAAACATAGGTCATAGCTCTACAAAACCAGTAAACTCAGTCTTTTGATTCATTTAATCCCGATCACACCTATTAAGACTAGAACTCCTATGTATTAAATTAAAATGGTCCTTTTCCTGCATATGGCAGTGAAAAATAATTAGGAAAACTAAAAATGTGATTTTACTCTGGTGGATTTAACTCAAAGGCGATCATATTCTTTGTTAGTTCAAAGAAATGTCCCAGGCATCTGCAATAATGTTAAATCTCCAGTAGCTTTTATCTAAAACTGCTGATTTTAGAATCTGCCACAAAAGTATATACTAAAATTTTAAGTTACTGATCCTGCCTTGGTATCTTACCAAGAACTAATAGTTATTATAAAGAACTCACCTTTTCTCACTCCAACAACACATAATAGCAGACATTAAATTAAGAACCATAGTCACAAGCTAGCTCATATCTTTAAAAAACGGATGCAATAAAGCTCCTTCTGCTGTTATTCTTGAAGCTGGATTTAGATCCAGAAGTTTATCAAGCAGGTCATATGCTTCATCAGGCACCTCATCCCAGCCTTCTACATTGGTAGTGTCTTCCTCTAAACAGGTCCCACAATCATTACTGTCCCCTTTGTGCAATGAATTCTCTGAGGAATGTGCTTGAGGGGTTTGTATGAGGTGAGCAGCATTATGGTCAGTCTTCTCTGAAAAAGTTGGGTCCTGGGAAGCAGGCCCTTGTATATCACTTATTAATTTGAGGGCTTTGGAATCTATACCCCGGAGCCTCTCACAGAGTTTCCTCAAGTCTTGTGCTGGGACTTCTTTGCTACATAATATTGATTTGCCTAAGAGAAAACAAAACAAAACAAAACCATGGAATTTATTATTATAACATTCAAATGTCAGAAGCCTCTCCTATGATAAACAGGCAGGTCCAACCATATGCTTGCTTTATGTGTTTGCACTGGATACGACAGCGCATGTCAGATTCCATTTGTGTTTGAATTACACAGCTGAAAGTCAAACAATGAAGTGGGTGACAGTACGAAGAGAGTAGAGATTTACTGGGCCAAGGACTCATTTGACTACCAACTTCCTCAGCTTCATCTATGCTTCTACAATTACCAACTGTCTGCAGTCTCCCCCACTTACTCCCCTACCTTTCCAAGCCTCTATGACAAAATTGCTTAGTCAACAGCACCTAACACATCTTTACTTTTGTGACTTCTGTCTTTGTCGAGGATGCTGTGTGTCCCATGCAGCTTCAGGTATCTCTGTGAGCCCTTCGATACTCAGAGACTAAATCATTTTAAGCATCTGTTGTAGATTTCTATTACTGTTGCTGTTGTGAGGTGCCATTGAGTCGGTACCAACTCATAACGACCCTACGCACAACAGAACGAAACACTGTCTGGTCCTGGGCCAACCTCACAGTTGTTGCCACGCTTGAACCCACTGATGCTGCCACTTGGCCAATCCATTTCATTGGGGGTCTTCCTCTTTTTCTCTGACCTTCCACCTTACCAAACATGATATCCTTCTCCAGCGACTGGTTCCTCCGGACATTATGTCCAAAGTATGAAAGATGAAGTTTGGCCACCCTGGCCTCCAAGGAGCATTCTGGCTGCACTGCTTCCAACACAGATCTGTTAGTTCTTTTGACAGCCCATGGCACTTTCAGTATTCTCCTCCAACACCATAACTCAAAAGCATCAATTCTTCTATGGTCTTCCTTATTCACTGTCCAGCTTTGACATACATATGAGGTTATTGAAAACACCATGGCTTGGGTCAGGCTCACCTTAGTCCTCAAGCTGACATCTTTGCTCTTCAACACTTTAAAAAGATTTGACTAATGAAATATGTTGTTTGATTTCCTGACTTGTGCTTCCATGAGTGTTGACAGTTGAATCAAGAATGAATTCCTTGACAGTTTAAATCTTTTCTCCGTTGTTAAGAATGTTGTTTATTGGTCCAGTGGTGAGGATTTTTGTTTTCTTTACATTGAGATGCAATCCATACTGAAGGCTGTGCTCTTTGATCATCATTAGTACTTTAAGTCCTCTTCACTTTCAGCAAGCAAGGTTGTATCATCTGCATATCTCAGGTTGTTAATGAGTCTGCCTCCAATCCTGACACAGTTTCTCTTCATTAACCCAGCTTCTCGGATTATTTACTCAGCATACAGGTTGAGTAAGTATGGTGAAAGACTACAACCTTGTCACACACCTTTCTAAATCTTAGGATTTCTATTATAACTTTTTATCCTGTATTGTAATTGGTAACGATATATGTCTGTCTTGCCTATTAGTCTTTAAAGATCTTACCCAGCAATGAACCCTTAAAACCTAGACAATGTCTGGTACATACTGATGATGTTTGCTGGACTGGACAAAACAGCATTATTCAGCCTATCTCTGTCCTGTTCAATGGCCCATTCACAGAGATGCAACTCCTGACCAACCTATCCAATATAGCTGTGTCCTCTTCATAGCACTCATCTATCTGATAAAATAGCTTTGTTGTACTTGGTCTTCCCTATTGGAATTTAAGTGGTATGAGAACAGAGACTCAGAATAGCATCTTGGCACACATTCCAAAACAACAAAACCCACTGCCATTGAGTCTATTCCAATACATAGCGACCTTTGAGAGGGTTTCCAAAATGGTAAATCTTTATGGGAACACACAGCTTCATCTTGCTCCTGCAGAGCCACTGGGAGGTTTTGAACTGCCAGCCTTGTGGTTAACAGCCCAACACCTAAGTCACAGGGCCATCAGGGCTCCTTTTGGCACACAGTTGTTCAGTGCCATCAAGTTGGTTCCAACTCATAACAACCCTGAATAGGGTTCCCAAGGCTGTAAATCTTCATGGGAAAAGAAAGCCTCATCTTTCTCCCACAGAGTGGTTTGTGGGCTTGAAACACTAACCTGCTGGTTTGCAGTCCACTGCTTCTCCTACAGAGCTCACATCAAGTCAGCTCCAACTCACAGCAACTTTGTATAGGATTCCCAAGGGGCGGCTTGGGGTGTCAACCACCAGCCTTGTGGTTAGCAGTCCACTGCTTATCCTACAGCACCACACAAGGACTTTAGTAAATGGTTTTGAATGAATTCAGTAAACTAAGCATACAAAAAGTATTCCTTTTGCTTATATTTATGTATTTTTAACAGAAATGTGGCTCTAACCAGAGTAGACAAGATTTAGATTAATTTCTAGGATGTATGGATTATCATAAAGCAATGACTCTAACTCTGGATTACCAAAAAAGTTATCTTTATATATTCTGATTGAATTAGTGGACTGGTCCTGGTATGGCGCTGTAGGGTAAGCACTGGACTGCTAACGGCAAGGTTGGCGGTTCAAACCCACCAGCCACTTCTTGGGAGACTCTATGCAGAGTAGTTATGAGTTAGAAACCAACTTGATGCCACTCAAAAACATATTAAAGCAGGGGAAAAAAGGGGGCTAAGAAGCAAGGAAGATAGAAAGGAAACAAACCACCAAAATTAAGTTTGTTGAGGATACAATGTGCCTTTTTTTGCTTTTAAACTTATATTTTCTGAAAGAACATTATAGTCAGAACTAATCATTTATATTCTCTTAAGTTATGTCATAATTTACGTAAATTATTTGGTAGTTGGTACTTTTACACAACCAGAGGGTTCGCTTAAAAACTATGTGACGGTATTTCTGTTTACCTCATGGTTTTTCTTTTGAATTTATTTAACACACTTCAACAAGTACTTCATGAAAAGCTAGTCCCAGTTTCAGGGACTGAGGGCAGTGACATAGGTTGGATACAAGGCAGGAGACGTAAAAGTACTTGCTCTGCTAACATCAGCATGTCACTTATTTGGATCATAGAGGGAAGACACTTACAGTTCATGGTTGTTGAAGTTTGGTGTTCTGTTTTTAGTCCAAACTTATAGTAAAATCTGACTGAAATAACTACATAATACTGCTAAAACAGAAACAAACTCTATACAGGGAGCTCCTGGGTTATGAACGAGCTCTGCTGCTAGCTGTGTCTTTAAGCCATTTGTAGGTCAGTTGGAACAGGTGCATGTGGTTCTTTTTAACCCTTACTTGAGTAAAACCTTTTCAAAGATTTAAAAACTGCACGTGCAGCAAGTGAAAGTGATTGTGATGAAGAACTTTTTGGTTCAACTGTTTCAAAGTTACAGCAAATTTACCTAACATGAAAGCAGGGGTTTGCAACAGTGCTGCTCTGCTCAAAGATGACGGCCAACTACAAGCTTTGAATGTGTATGGCTTTCCACAGTCCTACCAATAATCCAATCTCACAAAAGGGCTAACTACTGCATCTCACAATTTTTACCCTGGCAAATCATGCAAACTAAAATTTGGTAAAAATTTGGTCTGCTCCTTTTTCACTTTGTTTACTAGGACAAACTGGTTTGAAGTCCTGCATTAAAGTCAGTAGTTGTCTCGTGAGCCTGGTATAGCACTAAAGGATAAGCAATGACTGAAAGATTGTCCCAAAGGGGTACCCAATATTGTGTGGTAGTAAGCTGACTGAATGGCATCCACTCTTGGAAAGTACTAATTATAATTATGCTTGAAGAATAAACACAAAAGGCAAATAAGTTCAGGTTGTTGGCCAGAGCAAGACTGAAATAATTGCACTAAAAAATACATTGTGCATCCTCGTCTTTTTAAAATTATAGTTTGGGTAATAGTTTACAGAGCACATTAATTTTTTAATCAACAATTTATACATATTTTGTTTAGTGGCACTGGTTGCAATTCATTCATAGTAACAGCACTCTTCTCTCTTCCTCTCTGGGTTCTCCATTTCCATTTGCCCATTTTTCCTGCCCCTACCTGACTTCTGGGCTTTGTTTTTGGGTAAATGCCGCTTTGTGGTCTTGTATGGCTGATTGTACTGAGGACTATGTTCTTCCCTAAAAAGTGTTACTATTCACTTTATAGGCCTGCCTATTGGTGCGAGTCCTAGCGTGGCACTGCAGGGATAAGACTGGTCTTAGCTAACACTGAAGGATAAGCCCTTGTGTTTCAAACCCACCAGCTGCTTTCTGGAAACCCTATACAGGTTTGCTAAGCGTCAGAACCAAGGTGATGGCAGTTGGCACTTAACAACACAAATGAAAGTCAATCCCTGCGGATGAATTCAGTTCCAGACATACTCTCCCCAAGTGCCCAAGGGCCACAGTCTTAAGAGGTCCACCATTCTCTATCAGACCAGAAAGTCTGATCTTTTAAACAGTTTTAAATTTTGTGCTTTTTAAAAAAAATCTCCCTGTGTTCAGGACTTTCTATTGTATTCCTGATCAGAGTGGTTGAAAGTAGAAGCAAGACACTACTAGTTCTTCTGGTTTCTGAGTAGTGGAGACTGTGGTCTGTGTGGTCCATTATTCCTTTGGACTAATTGATTCCTTGAATCTTTGATTTACTCATTCGCCTTTGCTCTGAGAAGAGGCCAATAGTTGCAGAATCTTAGAAGGCTACTTACAAGCTTTTAAGATCTCATTTGCAACTCACCAAAGTAGGATGTAGAACATTGTCTGTGTGGAGTATGTTATGCCAATTGACTTATTTGTCCCTCGAGACTGTGGTCCTAACATCCCTAAGCCCAGTGAGTTGTTCCCTCAAGATGTCTGGTTATAGCTAAAAAGTTTCATTACTTTGCCCTCTATTATTCTTTAAAATATTCCTGCATATATTTATAGCACATACAAATTGTCTGTGTAGATATACCCTCTGCCAAATCTATATACTCATATTTGCCTTCCTACAACTGTGCAGCTTGCATGTCTACCTTGTATCTACTTGTAGATGTTGTTTATTACTACTATTACTGCAGGATTGTTTGTATAATAGTATTCATCTTTATTGTCTTTTACTCTTTGCATATTTTAGTCTAGAGAAACAGGAACTCACATGGCTGAAGAGATGAATTCCCAGGTCTAATAAATTCTTACACCAGTAAAGGCAATCTGTTTATTTCTCTTTTCTGCTATATCCTAAGGAATGTGACAATTATTACAAATTCTATTCTGTTCCCTATTGTCTGTCATCCTGTATACTGTATTGTACTTAACTATTTACTTATTGGTATCAACTAACATCATTTAAGGAGTCCTGGTGTGGTGTTGTGGGTTAATCCGCTGGACTGCCAAGTCGGTTTGAACCACAAGGTCGGCAGTTCAAACTCACCAGCCACTCCTTGGAAACCCTATACAGGGTCACTATGGGTTGCAACCAACTTGATGGCACTTAACAGCAACAACATCATTTAAGGCAGGACTATTACATACTCAATATCAAACAATGTAACTACGCTTAAAAGAATATACACTTAAAAAAAAAAATTAAGGATTAGTAAAACTGTTTCTGCTACAAAGTCAAATCACAATCACAGAGAGTAAGACAAGATTTTATTCCTTAAGTCTTTTGTTTAAAGTTATAAAGCTGAATTTTAAGTACTGGAGAAGTAAGTATAGCACTTATTGTTTAAGTTTAAATGGTTTGATGCGAAAAATGAGGACAAATTATTTTCTCACATAAATGCAATTTATTTTCAACCAATTAAAAAACTTGCTACCTAAGATCAGAGAACTTTATGGACATAGAATATATTTATTTGTAAAGAGAATTTTCTAATAACTTATTAAGTGAGGTGTAGGAGAAGATAACGGTCTATAATATAAAACAGCTTACCAAAAGTCTTAGCAGCCCGGATAGTTTCCCTGGATCCACGAATTGTCATAATTTGAGCCAAAGCAGTTAAATCATCGCTTGCTTTATAAAATGGGTATCGTCCACTCAGCAAAGACAGGAATATGACACCTGCGGACCATATGTCAATTGCTGCAACAGAACACAAACTTTTAAAAATCCTTTATCATCAGTATATAAGAGGGAGGGGTTAGCAGTGGCAAGATAAATGTAGCAGGAGACACAGGGAGGGTTGTAATAGTTCAAGTGAATAAAGGTAAATACTGTTATCTGTTGGTACAAGGGCATTCCAATTATGTACTGAAACAAGTATATGATTTGTTGAATGCAAAATTGATAAGCTACTTTTTAAACCTTAACTCAATTCACAATAAAAAGTTGGAAAAAAAATCATTTACTATTTGGTCATCTAAATCAGTAGTTCTCACTTTACTGTGTACTACCACCTTGTTAAGTGCTATCAAGTCGGTTCCAATTCATAGCCACCCTGTATAGGGTTTCCAAGGAGTGTCTGGTGAGCTTGAACTGCCAACCTTGCAGTCCGGTTTATTAACTCACAGCACCACACCAGGACTCCATTACCCCCATGGGAGATTTCAAAACTTCTGATGACATATTCAACCCCAAGCTCCTGAGATGATTTTGGTGCAGTCAGAAATGAGAATATCTGATCTACATCTTAAACATAAAATACATGTTCTCTTTTTAAAGCAATATAATGGTAGTGCTAAAAGAATATTTTATCTTTAGAAACACTTTGCTGTTAAGTGTCATTGACTTGGTTCTGACTCATAGAGACCCTGTATAGGGTTTCTGAGGAGCAGCTGGTGAGTTTGAACCACTGACCTTGAAGTTCAATCCAACCTTGTGGTCCAGTGCTTTCTATCCTACAGTGTCACATTAAACCAAATGAATGCAAATTTTATAAGATCAAAGGAAATTAAATAGTGATGTGGGCAAAAGTATGGAAATTGCATAATTTAAGTGCATACTGTAAGTAGAGAAAGCTTTCATTTTAGTGAAAACTATCGAAGGTTAGACACTTTTCTTTAGTCATATACTGACTCCAACTATTGCTACCAAAACTATTATCTTTACAGTTCTGGCAGTTAAGATTAGGATCAGTTCAACTTTAAGTAAAGAAACTTTTTCCCACTTCCTTTTAGGGACATTCTCTTGTGCTCTTGACCTCCCAGTATCATGAAGTTATTGTACTTATTTCATCTGCCACTGTATCACCTGCCTGTTTAGTTCCCTTTTTACCTCTCTACCTGTTCCTTTAATGTTTATCCCCAGTCTTAAATTCTGAGTTCTCCAAAGTTCCAACCACTTCCTCTGTATTCTCTCCCTGAGTGGTCTCCATCTACCTCATGGCTTTACTACAATGTACATAACAATGACACATAATTCTATTTCCGGCTCAGACACCTTCCCTGAGCTTCAGAATTACTTTTATTCTGCTAGAAATCTCTATCTGGATGTCCTACAAAGATCCTAAACTAATTATATCCAAACTAACCTTACTTTTCCCTATAAACCAGTTCCTCCGCCTTTATTTTTCATCTTTGTTATTGGTATTCATCTAAGTTCCCTAAGTTAGCAACCTGGTAAACATCCTAGATACCTTTCCCTCTCACCACCTCCTACCAAATTCCATATTCAATTACCCACTAAATTCTGTCTTTCTAATCCTTCACCTTTCTTTCCAGACCTACTAAGACCCTCATATAAGCTTTTACCATCTCTTACCTGGACCACTGCAGACCACACTCTCCAAAATCCCTCTTCTGTACATCTGCTACAATGATCTAGAGAACAAGATTGCCATTTCTTTCCCTTGAATAACTTTCCAGTAACTACAGGGTAGTCCAAGCTCTTTAACAAATATGATCTACCCTTGTCTGCCTTTTCCTAGGCTTAATTCTCACCACGCCTGAACTTGCAGCTTACATGCTACATGCAGCAACACTACATTAAGTTTCCTGCATGACTAGAACATGCCTCAATGTTAACCTCCCATCCCAATTTACATTCTTACCTTAGCAGTCATCTCTTCCATGAACTCTTTTCCATGATTCCTCAGGTTAGGTTAGTTAGTTAGGTCTAACACTAATTCTAGTGTTACATAAAAGTTTGTCACTGTACTCAACAGGCAACCAAATTTGAGTGTGCACCCTAATTAAGGGGAGCAAGGTGATACTGTAGGATAAACATTGGATTGCTAACCACAGCTTACCGACTTGAGCTCACTACTCGCTCCACAGGAGAAAGATGAAGCTTTCTGCTTCTGTAAAGATTTACAGCCTTAGAAACCCTAGACTGGGTCGCTATGAATTGAAACCAACTTAATATCAGTCCTGATTAGAGTGTGAGTTGACTGACTCATTCATTTTTGTATCATTAGAAAGAACAGAGTAAACACATAATAGTCCATCATCCTAGTGAACAGTTGTTGTTAGATACCACTGAGTCAGTACCAATTCATAATGACCCCATGTACAACAGAACAAAACATGCCCAGGCCTGTTGTTGCCACAACTGTGGCCACGCTTGAGACCACTGATGCTGCCACTTGGCTAATCCATCTTGCTGGGGGTCTTCCTCTTTTTCTCTGACCCTCCACCTTACCAAATATGATATCCTTCTCCAGCGACTGGTACTCATCTAGTCAATCAATAATACATTTACTGGATTATAGTTACATGAAACCTTTTAAATTATACAAGACTTTAGAAAAAAACCCTACTTAATGCTATTTTATTGTCTTCGCCACAACAAAAAATATAATCATACACACAATAGTATCTGAATTATAGAAGACGAACAAATGAAATGCTCCAATTCTTAAACAAAATAATAAAGTTAGCCAAAAGTACTAAATATAACTTTTTTCCCCACAACAGTGAGTGATGTTAGCAAAATTCCTAGTGAAATCATTGTGTAAGTAGATACACAAAATGCAAGCTATAGTAAACAAATGTTTTAAAAAAACAGCACTAACTTACTATTTGAAACAAATAGCAATATGTCAAATATGGGAATGTCATACTTGCACAATTAAAAGTAGAAGGGCACAAATACCAGTCTTAATAGGCAAAGATCAAGAAACAAAATATAACTGGGACAATAAAATTTGAATTGGGTTCTGATTTCTAAGAAGTTCTGGTAACACTGTAAATTAATTGCTCAGCTCCTAACCTAAAGGTCAGTGGTTCAAAACCACAGGCCAATCTGTGGAAGTAGATGTTGCAATCTGCTTCCATTAAGATTACAATCTTGGAAACTCTACGGGGCAGCTCGCTCTACGCTGTCTATGAATTGAAAGCGACTCAAAGGCAACAGGTTCGGTTTTCTGTATTTCCAGTGCAACATACCTGTAGTCTGATTGGGGCACTTTGTCAACACTTCTGGTGCTCTGAATCCAGGTGTACCTGCCCTTGGGGCAACTTGTTGCCGCCTTATGAAGAAATGAAATTTTACTAGTCATGTTAAGCTTTAACACTTAAGAGTAAAAATTTTTATTTATTAGTACACAATAAATTTCACCTTGATATTTAAAAAAAATTATTTAAAAAACCCAGAATATTTCTAAGTGATTATGTGATTGACTATATTACAATAGTTACATTTGGGCCTAGTAATTCAATGAATATAACAGAGTCAATTAAGAAAACAACTTATTATAATGTAAATGACAAATCCAGTGTGCTGAATAACTTAGATCTTGCATTTGCTTATTCCCCTACCCCAAACAGTTCCCTGGTCTTATTCCAACAAAGTTTTAAGGTAATTTCAAGCATAAAAACAGGAAGTAGATGATAAGAATCCTAAAGGAACAAAAAATATAACTGGGATCCAAAGGTATAAAAAATAATTTCTATTTCAGGTGATAAATTATTTATATACTTATTCACTTGAATTCGTCAGGTGAGGCTTTATGAAAGTCATGTCTTGAAAGAAGGGAAGGAGTTTATTAGGCAGAAAGTTGGAGATGGGAGTGAGAGAAGAGAAGACGCTTATCTTTTGGTTCTGTTTATTACACACAGATAGGAATAAAGACATTAAACAGGAAAAAAAATATGAAATTATAGATGGTTCCAAAAAAGCTATTTCCCTCTCAAAATTTGCATATAAGAGCAAATGTGTTTTCCAAAAAGCATATGCATGTCAAATGAATAACATATGGCAAAAGAAATGACCTGCCCTTCAAGATATGATTTATACTGCACTAGTGCCTGTATGGAGACCTGGTGTGGCTCTGTGGGCTAATGCATCAGACTGCAAAGTCGTTTGAACTGCAAAGTTGGTGGTTCAAGCTCACCAGCTGCTCCTTGGAAACCCTATATAGGGTCACTATGGGTCAAAATTGACTCGACAGCACTTAACAACAAACAACTTAACAAGTGCCTGTATACATCACAGATTTGTCTTATTCCCTTTTATGCAATGAAATCAATTGCTCACCAAATCAATGCAATTTCTAATCCTGTATGACAAAATGCTGGTGGTGTATAATACCATCAGAGCACTTTACCTTGAAAGACACACGCTACAAACTTTATCTGTTGCGTAACAGTCGCAGCTCGGGGTAGCTGTGCAAGAAGTGGTAGCTTTCCTCATCACACCACTGCTGACAACTTTTGTAGAAATACCCTTCTTTTTTGTTGCTAATTTTCTAGAGAGTATATCCACAGTTTTTGATTGTTTCATTAGCTGTAAAAGAAAGATCGTATTTTCTATTTTCATAACATTTAGCATGATGCCTTCAAATGCTGACTTGGCAAAACCAGTATTGGAAGCATAACTTTCAGAACCGCTGGATGTGTTATGTGAATTTAGAAAACTGTCTATTAAACTTTTAAGGGATCTCTCTGGTTTTTCTGTGGAATAAACTTATATTAAAATTTACAAATTAGTTTTAAATGGTAAATAGTTGATGTACACTATTAGAACTTTTCCTGATCTATTTACCGGAATATAAAAGAGTTATGTTCTAGTGTCTAACTCCATTTCAAAACTGTAGACTGCACAATTACATTGGCTAAAATCAGTTTTAATTTGTTGCTCATGCTGTCCAGCTGTCACAGAATATTTAAAAGCATCTACCACTAATAACAATTTTGTTAACTTTATAAACATTTTTATGCAAGTAACTGAGTCAGCACTGTGTTAGGTGTTGGGAGCACACATTCTAGCCAACGAAGAGAGAAAAAAAACTTAATGTTCCAAATGTTCCTCTATTGAAAGAGCAACAATAGTTAGTTAGCTAATCAAAAATGCTCAAAGATTCTACCAGGCAGTAAACTTGTTAAAACTGCTAATAAATGCTACCCTAGTCATTACCTAAACTGTCTTCAGCGTACGACTGACTTATCATTGCACTATTAAGCTACATTACTTACTTTCACTGCAGGGCTCTCATGTGAAATGGAGCTGTGTATATTGAAATTTCTTTCTCCAAAAACAGAGCGCTGGACAGAAAGGCCTACAGATCCCTCCTACAATACCAACAAAAACAAGGAAAATAAGGATTATATCTGTAACACTTTCTGCCAGCTGTACTCTGCCATAGTTTTAAGAGTTAAGTGACATAAAACAAAAACAGCTGCATCCAAGTCATTCTCAGGCACCAAAACACTTCTGTGAAAGGAGAAAATAGTCTAGACAGAACTCTTCACACCCATACAATGTTATTATCTTAGCTCACAAATATACACCTAAAAACCACCGGCATGGATGTTACATTTTGCTGTGCAGCTAAAATGGAGATAGACACTTCAAAATTTTCACCTACAAACTAATGCTTATTTTGGCAAAGGATAATTAATCTGAACTTCATATAACAATACGTTATTTTTTAACGTTTTCATATAATGCAATTTTGTTAAACACAGTAACAAAGACATTATAAATCTATGTATATTTCAGTTTTGAAACCATAAGCAAAATGATCCAGTACAAATCTTCATGAAAATCTGACCGGTTGAACACATAAAACAAATGTGAAACTACTGTTTTAATTGCAAGTAGTATCCTAGTATTATATCACCCTCTTTTGGAGGCAAGAGTACATTTCTGAAATAGAGATAGTACTTAAGAAATAAAAGAAGCTGAACCTTTCCATCTTTTCCTTGTTTAAGCTGAATTTGTGCATTTGTGTAGGGCCTTTTAACAGATGTTTTTGTGGTAGGCTGCTGATTCAGCTCTTTAGATGCTGGGCCACTCAGTGAAATCTTGTTTCCTGTGATTACGTGGGACTTATTCTGTGAAGAGCTTTCCTGCGGAGATTCAGACTGGACAAATCTGAGTTGCTCTATTTTTGTATCACGAGTTCCTTGAGCCAAACCAAAGTCTACCAAGGCGTACCTAAGAAACAAAATTAAGCAATCTTACATCTCTGTAACAATTAAAGTTTTGTTATTATTGTTAAGTGCCATCGAGTTGGTTTCGACCCATAACGACCCTATATAGGGTTTCCAAGTAGCCTCTGGGGAGCTTGAACCACCGACCTTATGGTTCAAACAGACTTTGCAGTCTAGCGCATTAACCCACAGTGCCACACCAGGACTCCAATTAAAGCTTTAGTGACATCATAATATCTCAAATCACAGAGAAATTACATTTTTTAATGGGGGAGGAGTCAATGCAGAGTTTATCAGGTTCCTGAAGGGAAAAAAAAAATTTTTTTTTTTTTTGACAAGGTTAAGCATTTTATAGCCAACTAGGATGACAATTATGGGGAGATGCAGTCCAAAAAATAAGTAAGGTCTTTTTCCAATGATCTGCTGCTGACAAGGCAGAAGAGGAATGTTAGAGAGAAGCAGTCCTTTGTTCTCTGGTAGTGGCATCATAGCATAAAATTTATAATTTAAAATCTTAATTAAAAATGTTAAGGATTATATTTGTAACACTTTCTGCCAGCTGTACTCTGCCATAGTTTTAAAAGAGTTAAGTGACATAAAACAAAAACAGCTGCATCCAGAAAGAAAAAGAAAATCATGGTTTTAAAATCTGATTTAATCAAAGAAGGTACGGAAAAAAAGATCCAGGGGTATAAAAGTCAAAAAAGAAGCTACTGTTCTATATTTCTTACCATACTCAGCACAATCCACTGTATACACAGCAACATTTAAGTTATTTTCAAGTTATAATGCCTACATGTATATAATTCACATGAAAATATATAAAGAGAATTGCGCTGAAATGGAAATTAGCTATCATGTGGTCCAATCTCCTCATTTACTAAGGAAGAAAAATGGACCTCAAAGAGAAGATATGTATAAAGCCAAATAAAACCAGTCCCTTTCTAAATCTCTTTTTTGACTCAGTAATTTCCTTTGGATAAAGTATGTACATTGCCTTGCTAATACAATTTTATTTCTCTGTACTTCCCTTCCCCAATCACATTGAAAATTTGAATAATCTGTCCAAGGATGTGTACGTATGTTCTTTGACTAAGAAGACATGGGCCTCACGGTCTTCAAGCGTAGATATTTTCCCGTTAACTTTCATACTTACTTTTTCAGGCGTCTATTATATAAAAAATTGCTGGGCTTAACATCACGGTGAACAATACCAAACTGATGAATGCGCTTCAAAGCTCTGAACAGATTAAACATATATTCCCGTACTTCTTGAAAAGACAGAGAATTCAAAATGTCCTAAAACAAAGTTTTGAATAAGGTCATAAAATTGTATTCAATTAAATGTTGAGGTAGTAAAAATTCAAGAAATATTCAAACCTACCAAGAAGGACTCATGTTCCAGATATGGCATAGCAATAACCACATGATCATTTTTCCTAAAGCAATATTTTATTCCCATGACATTGTCTTGCCCCCTAGTGGAAAAATGTAAAATGAACTTAGGAGAAAAGGTCAAATGAAATGAAACTTCATGACTTTTTTCAAAGTAAATTTAGCAATGCATAAATATACTAGAAAACTAAGTTAAAATCATCAGCTTTCTTTTTAAAAAATAGCACCAGTTATAAGGGTACTAATACAATTCAATTATGAAATAATTACAGCATTAGCTGGGTACATGGCAGTATAAGAAAGAAAGGATGAATAAATTATCAGGCAATAGTAGAAGATAAGATGAAGGTAATAAATGCATTTTAAAATAACAGTAATTGCTTACATTTATCCTGACTCTGTTCTGAAAGACTTCACACATATTAACAAATTTACTTCATCTTCTGAATAACCCTGTGAAGTGGGTGCTCTCACCCCACTTCCTTTTACAGATGTGGAAATTCAGGCACAGAGAGGCTGAGGAACTTCCCCAAGGCCCCTAAACTATTAAGTCACAGAGCCAGCATTTGAATTCTGGCAGTTTGCTCCATATTTATGCTCTTAATTGCTTTGATTCACTATTGCATAAAAGATGAGGAAAATGAGGGAAAGTTGATTTTCATAGATTTGAGCCTGAGTTAGTAAAAAAAAAATAATAACAAGAAAATAAGTAGAGAATCTAGAAAAAGCAACATGTGGCACTGCAGGATATAATGCACTGGGGTGCAAAGCCAGTTTGAACTGCAAGGTTGGCAGTTCAAACTTACCAGCTGCTCCTCAGATACCCTATACAGCGCTGCTGAATTGGAACTGACTAACAAGAACAAACTGAAAATTCACCCATTTGATTTGTTGTTGTTAAGTGTTAGTACTTGTAGAGAAGTGATTTCAAAGCTGTGAAAATGAGAAAGAAGAAGAAATGGTGCCTTGGAAAGTCTCAGGTTGGAGAAAAAATTCAAGGAACAGAAAGCCTTACTAGGGACTTCACCAAAGTGAAACATTTGAAAGGAAAGGGCGATAAACATGGAAATCAAGGAGAATTAGAATTGAGGGCAGGCTCTTTGGTTTGGAGGGAATGAATCTGGCAATTTTTCAGAGAGCAATTTAAGTGAAAAGGAAGAGGCTTAACAAAATTTCAGGAGAGAAAACAAGATACACTGGAAGCAAAGCATAAAGACAGTATTCCTGAAATGTACGGCAAAGGAAAGAAGGAAAATACTATGGGAACTAGGAAGGCAGCAAGATTAGGTGAAGACTTTCTGAAGCATAGGGAAAGGAAAAGCAGTAGAGAGAGATAATGAAAGTGTGGGAAAGGAAAGGAATGACCTTGTTTGACAGGACTAGAATGTATGTAATCATTAGAGATTACTCTCAGAAGAGATGATAGCTCATCATCTTGGCTTCTATAATAAATACAGGGGTGCAACAATAAAATCAGTTCATCCATTCAATACTTGGTGGGCACTATTATTGGTCAGTAACTGAATAGGGAAGATTGAAGAATTGGTGCCTTTGGATTATGGTGTGGGCAAGGAATACTGGACATACCATGGGTTACCAGAAGAACAAACAAATCTGTCCTGGAAGTACAACCAGGATGCTTCTCAGAAACAAGGACGACAAGACTTTGTCTCATGTACTCTGGTCATGTTACCAAGAGGCGACTTAGTCCCTGAAGAACACCATGTTCGGTAAAGGGTCAGTGACACAGAGGAAGACTTTCAATGAGATGGACTGACACAGTGGCTGCAACAATGGGCTCAAACATAACAATTGTGAGGATGGCGCAAGATGATGCAATGTTTCATTCTCTTATACATAGGTTGTTATAAGCTGGGATCAACTTGATAACACAGAATAACATTCAACATTAGCAATGTAATGGTGAATAAAACTAATATGATTTCTGATCTCATGGAGTTAATTATCTAGTGGAAATCACAGAGAATAAGCAAGGTAAAAATTGATGGCAAATTATGATACAGGCTTTGAAAGAAAGCAAAAGATGTGGCAATAAAAAGTAGGAGGGTGTAACTTAATTCAGGAGTCCTGATGTGGTATGCAGAATAAGCACTGAACTGCTAACTAAAAGGTCTGCAGCTCAAACCCAATAGCCATTCCTAGGAAACTCTATGCAAGTTTGCTAGGAGTTGAAACCAACTTTGAAACATTTAACAACAATTTAATTCTGAGAAGACCACTTTAAAGCAGTACCTGCCTATCTCTCACACCAGAAAGGTGAGTCAGCATTCAAAGATTGGGGAGGTGGTCTCCTAAATAGAGAAAGAGCAGGGGCCGTGGCTCAGACGCAAGAAAGCTCTTGAGACAAATTGGAGGCACTGAAAAAACAACATAGAAAGGGAGGTAGGTAGACTGGCATGAGATGAAGTTGGGAGAGTAGTCAGAGTTAAATCAGCCCTTGGCTAAACAGAAATTTAAAAGTTCACAGTAAAATTTAGAATTTTTTTCTCCCAAAACACAATAGTAAACTACTGAAGATTGTGAGTGGTAAAATTAGTACTATTCAAATTATGTTACATATTTTTTTTTTTACATTTTAAAGGTATCTCTGGATGCTATGGACCACTGGATCTTGGGTGAAAGCAGAGAATACCAGAAAGATGTTTATCTGTGCTTTACTGACTTCACAAAGTCTTTCGATTGTGTGGATCATGACAAGCTATGGACAACATTATGAAGTATGAATATTCCTGAACACTTAATTGTGCTCATGAGGAATCTGTACATGGACCAAAAGGCAGTTGTTCGAAAAGAACACGGGAACACTGAATGGTTTAAAATTTTAAAAAGTGAGGGACAGGCTTGTGTTCTTTCACCATACTTAGTCAACCTGTATGTTGAGCAAATAATCCGAGACGCTGTTTATATGAAAAAAAACAACAACACATGGCATCAGGATTGGAGGAAGACTCATTAACAACCTGCAATATGCAGATGATACAATCCTACTTGCCGAAAGTGAAGACTTAAAATATTTCCTGATGAAGATCAAAGAGCACAGCCTTCGGTATGGATTGCATCTCAATGTAAAGAAAACAAAAATCCTCAACCCTGGACCAATAAGCAACATTCTTATCAATGGAGAAAAGACTGAAGTTATCAAGGACTTTATTCTTCTTGAATCAACTATCAACACTCATGGAAGAAGCAGTCAAGAAATCAAACGATGTATTGCATTAGTCAAATCTGCTGCATAAGACCTTTTTAAAGTGTTGAAGAGCAAAGATGTCAGCTTGTGGACTAAGGTGCTTCTGACCCAAGCCATGGTATTTTCAATAACCTCCTATGCATGTGAAAGCTGGGCAGTGAATAAGTTAGACAGTAGAAGAATTGATGCTTTTGAGTTATGGTGTTGGAGGAGAATACCGAAAGTGTCATGGGCTGCCAAAAGGATCTGTGTTGGAATAAGTGCAGCCAGAGGGTTCCTTGGAGGCCAGGATGGCCAAACTTCGTCTTTCATACTTTGGACATATTGTCAGGAGGGACGAGTCACTGGAGAAGGATATCATGTTTGGTAAGGTGGAGGGTCAGAGAAAAAGAAGAAGACCCCCAGTGAGATGGATTGGCCAAGTGGCAGCATCAATGGGCTCAAGCGTGGCAACAATTGTGGCAACAACAGGATTAGGCAGTGTTTTGTTCTGTTGTACATAGTGTTGCTATGAGTCAGTAACGACTCGATGGCACCAAACAACAACTGGCTACTATATGAGGACAGAAAGTGAAGGTAGAAGAGAGGTAGTCTAGACTTGTACTGAGGTAGTACTGTGCAGTGTAGTTAAAAATAAAAGGAATTATAGGTATATTTTAGAGACAGAATGGCCAGGACAACTGATACAGTTTCGGAGAAAAATGGAAAATTGATTCCTAGGTTCTTGGTCTGAGCAACTGGGTAAATGATGGTACCGATTACTGAGATGAGTATATGAGAGAACAGTTTATTGCTACCGGGTGTTTTAGGCAGGAGAGTAGATTAGCAATTTCATTTTGGGGATACTGGGTTTGAGATATTTGAAACGTCAAATAGGTTAGTAGGTTTACATAAACCTACAGGCAGCTAAGAGGTCTGAGGCTAGCTGTATCTTTTTGGGAACCATTATTATGTCTTTAAAGTCATGTAGAATGCATGATACTACCTAAGGATGGGTACTGAGAGACAGAAAGCTCAAGATCACGCATTGAAGAACTTCAACATTCAGGAGGTTAGGTAGAAGAGAAGGAGCCGGCAAATAATACTGAAAATGAAAGACCCATAAAGAAACCAACAGACAATGGTCAAATCCATTACGATGGATGCTGCACTGAGAGCTCATGTGAATGCAAACAGGTAAAACAGCAGTCATGGTTAACGCTTAACTAAAGTGCTGGTGTGGCACTGTGGGTTAGGCACTGGACCACAAGGTTGGTGTTTCAAGCTCACCAGCTGCTCGTTGGAGACCCTACACAGGGTCGCTGGGAGTCAGAATCAACTCAACATCACTTAAAAACAACAGCAAGAATTTCAGTTTAGCCTAGAGGAGAGCAGCCACACTAACTGTAGAGTGAAAAGGAATAAAAACAGGATACAGACATGTTCTGAAAAGTCTGGCTATGAAAAGGTGCTGGAAGAATAAGAGCATGAGAGATACTAAATCATTTCACTAGGTTGATAAAGATGATTCATCAAATAGAGATCAATGAGAAAGACATGCCAGATGATTCTGCTGTTCTCAGTAAAGCATGAACTGAGCATGTCAGTAATAACTGGGGAGACATGAAATGAGTTCCCCATATTGTATGTTAAATCTAGACTACGAAAACCATGGTTTAGGATTGGCAGGAAGATTACAAAAAGAAGTAGCAAAAGAACAGGAAGTCAAGTTGGGTCTCTAGGGAAATCCTCTCTGAGAGAATCAAGATATATTTAACTCACCAGTCCAAGTTTAATGGAAAGTGCTAACAACTTGCAAACACTTGAATGAAGGATATGCTTAATTTAAGGGCAATTTCACCTCTCTAATAAGCATCCACTTAAAAACCTAATGAATTATATACAGCTAGTTCAATTCAAGTATCTTTAATTTGCCTACCCAGCCACTGTAAGGCACTGAAGTTCAGCAGCAATTCTTAAGGGATGACTTGTTGGAATTAAGTGTTTTAGAGCAATTTTCTCTTCGGGTCCTACTTGCAACTGTGCTGTGGCCAAATAAACAGAGCTGAAAGTGCCTGTAAAACAATTTATTAGATTTTTCAATATTTGAGTTTTTTAAAAAATGTTAGTGAAACAGTGGTAAAACAGAGCCTAAAAACTGTTAAAACCCATAAAATTATCATAATCATTAATGTTTTTAATATAAGCCAAATACATCTATTAAATAAATTTTCATTTTTAATAAATTCTTAAGTCCTGAATTTAACATCTGTAGAACCAAAGAATTAAAAAAAAAAAAAAAAAAAATCCCATTGCCATCCAGTAAATATGACTCACAGAGACCTATAGGACAGAGTAGAACTTCCCATGGGGTTTTCAAAACTGTCATCTTTATAGAAGCAGATGAACACATTTTTTCTTCTGAAAAGCAGTGAGGTTCAAACTGCCAACCTTCTGGTTAGCAGCCAAATGCTTAACCACTGCAACATCAGGACTCCTTAGCATCTGTGTTGTTAAGTGTCATAGAGTCGGTTCTGACTCGTAGTGACCCTGTATGGTGTTTCCCAAGGAGCAGCTGGTGGGTTTGAACTGCTGCCCTTCTTAATTTTCCAACACAAACACACCACAGTAAATCTGCTGATTCATGTGATAATTCCATAGTCATGATTCATTCCAGTAAGTATTTTCTATGTTATCATTTCAACATACTTAATTAGAACTACAAATTTATAGAGAGAGAAAAAAAACCTGTAAAAAAACAAGGGCTTTTAAATTTAACATTAAACTAAATGAAAAAAATTAAGATTTGGTGGTCAGTTAAATTTGATAAATACTGATTATAACAAATGAAATATATTACTACAAAATGTTCAAAGACTATAATGTGCTAAGTACATCGTACATAAATCATACCAACAGGTAGCTGTAACGTGATAATTTCCAAACTCATTTAGTCTTAAAATACCCTCCCCACAAAACAAGTATCGATCAACTGGAAGAGAGGGGCACCAGTGTTCCCCAGAACAAAGTTTGTGAATCCTAACTTAAAGAGAAAGAAAACGATCTGCTCCTTATGTCTGCTGACACCAAATCACCTCATTATATTTTTCTGTTCCTAGTGATACAGCCTTTTCTCAATTGACAGCTTTTATTGTAAAAGGGACTCCTGGGTTAAGGGTTAAGGCTGTGAAGGTTGTGGGTTAAGGCGGTGGACTGCAAAGTCGGTTTGAATCGCAAGGTCTGTGGTTCAAGCTCATCAGCCGCTCCTCGGAAACCCTATATAGAGTCGCTATGAGTCAGAACAGACTTGATGCCACTTAACAACAACTACCAAGTAAATGAAGTTTTCACTTTTCAGGCATTTCTCAAGACAGCCAGGCAAAAAGTTTTATTATCTTTTACTTTGTCATTTCCTTTGCAACTGTGTGCCAAATTCATCCTTCAATCAGTATGACTGCAAATCAATGGTATTTATGCTAATACTGATCATCCTATATATAGTACCATTCTCATTGTTTTGCCATCTTAGGCTTTGCTAATCTGATTCAGTGTACCATTCTACCTAATTGCAATGGAGAAAGAGGAAAGATTTGGCTTCCGTAATAAAATCTTGTTTGAATCTAATTGTTTAATTTTAAAGAATTACTATTTACCATAAATATTAGTATATTAATACTCTTACTAATATAAAAAAGTAGGACTGCTCATTTTATATTTATTCCTTCATTCCTTATAGGAAAACATAAAAATTTTTACCACAATTAATAATACACATGTTGCTATAGTTTTAATATTTTAGGAAGAATAGGGTATATTTTCAAAAACAAATAATAATAAAAACAGAATAGAAAAAACCCTGTACAGTTTATAAATATATCCCCCAAAATTACCTTCTCCAATTTTGTCCTTAATCTTAAACACATTACCAAGCTGTGGTACAGCTTCGTAAAGCTTCTCAATATCTTTTTTAACACCTATTAAGGAAATAAGAATTTACAGTCATAATTAAGAAGAATATAATTTACAGTTTCTTAAATTTAAAAAAACTTGATGATTCTTGAACATGAAATTTTAATAAACCTTAAAACGATAACAATACCTAAAGCCCCATCAAGTTGCTATAACATACACACTACTCTTCAACTGATAAATGTGCACTATCAGTATTACATACATAAAATGACTATTACAGGTAGTCCCTGACTTACAACATATTCATTATGACAAACTGCACTTATAACCACCAGTGTGTCTGGAACATGGTATCTTCCTGGGAGAAAGTTACGAGAAAATGCATGCAGGAGATAAGGGAAAAAAGACTGAGTTAATGTGAACAAACTTCATGCTTTCGATCAGAATATGATGAACAAGATGAGCGGTAAAATCATCCACATGACAAGAACATGGAATTTAGAACTTTATATTGCCAATATGGAACCGTTCACATATCATGACTTGACAAATTCAAGGGGAATTGACAAATCATGACTTAATGGATCTTGAAGAGGAAAGAAATGCTGAAGAAAGAAAGAATGAAGGAGAGAAGGAAGTAAAGTGTCAAAAATTTTTTAGTAACAGGATTAGCTGGAGTTTTTTCTAAATGAAATCAGGGGTTCAGTTAACTGAAAGCATGGATCCAAATGCTAATTGCTTTGCTAAAATCAGTAGGCAGATTCGGGAAGAAGTGAAATGTTATTGCATATATATTCAGAGAAAAAAAACCAAACCATGCAGATACATATTTGTGCCCATTCCAAAGTGTACCCCAACAGAATATAAAAATCATTAACAGTATCACTAATATCACATACAAGTAAAAAATAATTTTTAAATGGCTGCAACAATACATCAACAGGGAGCTACCAAAAGTTCAAGTTGGACTCAAAAGAGGACATGGAACAAGGGATATTTTGCTGACTTCAAATGGATATTGGCTGAAAACAAAGAATACCACAAAGATGTTTACTTCTGCTTTATGTTTGCAAGGCTTTTGACTATGTGGATGGACAAGCTATGGACAATACTGCTAAGAATGGGCATTCCAGAACACTTAACTGTGCTCATGAAGAACCTGTGCACAGACCAAGAGGGAGTTAATAGAACAGAATAAGGGGATACTGAATGCTTTAAAATCAGGGAAGGTGTGTGCTGGGGCCGTATCCTTTCACCACACAAAATCAATATGTATGCTGAGCAAATAATGTGAGAAGCTCGAGTATACGAAAAAGGTGACAGCAGGATTGGAGGAAGACTTGTTCAACAACCCATGATATGCAGATGATACAACCTTGTTTGCTGGAAGCAAAGAGGACTTAAAATACTTACTGATGAAGATCAAAGACTACAGCGCTCAGGACTGATATTGATTGATATTGATATCTGCAAGTTTAATTGTAATAATTTCTATATAAAGAAAATGAAAAACCTTATAACTAGACTAATAAATAATAACATGATAAATGGAGAAAAGATTGAAGGTGTCAAACACTTCATTTTGCTCAGATCCACAATGAACACTCATGTAAGCAGCAGTCAAGAAATCAAACAAAGTATTGCATAAGGCAAATCAGCTGCACAAGACCTCTTTAAAGTGTTCAAGCACAAAGATATCAGTTTGAGGGCAAAGGTGCCCCCGACCCAACCCATAGTATTTTCAGTCACCTTATATGCATGTGAAAGTTGGGCAATGAATAAGGAAGATCACGGAAAACCTGATGTATTTGAATTACAGTACTGGAGAAGATTAAAAGTACCATGGACTGACAGAAGAAGAAACAATTCTGTTTGAAGAGCAGCAAGAATGTTCCTAAGACACCCGGATGGTGAGACTTGGACATGTTATCATGAGAGACTAGTCCCTGGAGGACATCATCATCCTGACAGTGAAGTGGCCAGCTGGTCTGAAGTGCAAGGGAGGTAGGTCAGCAGAAAAAAGGAAAATGCCCAATGAGATGGACTGACACAGAAGTAGCAGCAATGGGCTCAAAGATAACAATTGTGAGAATGACACAGGACCAGGCAGAGCTTCCTTCTATTGTTCATAGGGTTGCTATGAGTTGGAATTGACTTGACAGCACCCAACAACGTACAAATAACTCTTACTAATTTTCTGACTAAAACTTCATCCCCATTTCCAGAGATAATCCATATGCTCCAGAACCTTCCACAGGTGGAGTTACTGTCATAGGGCATCATCGTCCATCTCTTCATCATCAGGGTAAATGTTTATGATTTGTGTTTTGTATGCAAGTATTAAAATATATCTGCAAGTTTAATTGTAATAATTTCAAAGAAAGATCAGATTTCTAAAGATACTCATGACAGCTGGGACACTCCCACTTAAAAAGACAAGCAGACCAACCAGAACTGCTGGGGAAACAGGATATACTTATTGAAAGAAAATCTTGCAGAAAAAAGCGGACTGTTTGAATTTCAAGCAAGCTGTTTGCTTTGGAGGCATCAAGGCAAGAAAAGTCAGCCAATCAGGAAACCCCCACTTCTAGGAATGAAACTTAAAGGGAACCGTCGAGCAATCTAGTAGGTCACTGGTGACCACCTGGGTCTACTTGAGTGGAAGGGGGAGAAATGCAACAATGAAGACATGGGCTGAGTTTGGCCATGCTCCACTGGCACCTAGTGACCTTGAGATGAGAGAAGATGTCTGAAGTTTAGGGATATGTATGAACTCCTGAGCCCATGGGCACTGACCCAGCCCCTGGGGGTTAGGGCTGAGAGTGAAGTGGCCAGCTGGTCTGAAGTGCAGGGAGTTAAGTGTGCGGGAACTCTCAATTTTGCAGCTAGTATCCATTAGACCTGGTATGGCGCGGTGGGTTAATGCATCAGACTGCAAAGCAGTTTGAACTGCAAGGTCGGCAGATCAAGCTTACCAGCTGCTCCTAGGAAACCCTATACAGGGTCGCTATGGGTCAGAACTAATTTGACAGTACTTAACAACAACAATCCATTTGATCTAGCTTGGTTGGCTAGCTGACTAGAACTTGACCAGATGTTTGATACTGTGAGCAAGTGTATATTGCTACAATTTGATGAACTGGAGTTTTGCTTATGGATGCAATTGCTCAAAATTCCAATCAGAATAGAAGGATTCTTTATATCAAGGAACAAGCTTGTTTTCTCAGCGTACTCAGTTGATGTTGTTGTTGTTGCTGTTGTCAGGTGCCATCGAGTTGGAACCGACTCATAGCAACCCAATGCACAGCAGAACGAAACAATGTCCGATCCTGGGCCAACCTCCCTACTGCTGCCATACTTGACGCCATCAATGATGCCACCTGGCTGATACATGTTGTTGGGGGTCTTCCTCTTTTTCTCGGACCCTCCATCTTACCCAGTATGACATCTTTCTCCAGCGACTGTTCTCCCTGACAATATATCCAAAGTATGAGAGACGAAGCTTAGCCATCCTGGCCTCCAAGGTGCACTCTGACTGCACTTCTTCCGAAATAGATCTATTGGTTCTTTTGGCAGTTGATGGGGCAGGCAATTTAGACATTGACTATCAAAAAATGGAAGGCTATCAAGTCATGAAGTGGTTGGCTTACATGCTTTCATAAGAGTGCTTAGTTTCAGAATGAGGGCAGTAAGGTAAAATCCCCACTGAATAGTTTCCCACTTTCCCAGATGAATCTGGTGAAAGGAGATGGGGGATGATGGTGATAGGATTTTATTCTTTAATTGTGAGTAACTGTTAGCAGGATTAACTGTGATTGCTATAACTGTAATGGAAGAAGATATGTAACTAAAAGGGGGCAGTAATTAATCTTTCATTTCAAGAACAGACAATCCCAGAAACATCAATATAGAAGTGCATAAGTGGACCATGAGATCCCTACCTAGAAAAGTGGTGACAGCAGAGATGGTGGCAGAGGCGGTGGCATGGAGAGACAGAGCAGCTGTGGGCTCTAAGCTTAAGGACCGAGTAAAGCTGTGTGCCTGCAGGCAGGAGGCTGGCTTGCAAAATGTGCCTTTCAGATATTTAAATGAATATATACTTTTTGTTTTGTAAGTGTGCATCAAATATTTTTGTTTTGTTCATTTGTGAAATATAAGAAGTAAATGGGAGCCACAGGAAGGAAGTAGGATAACTATTGTTGCATGGCGAGATTGTAATCATTAAGCTGAAACACATGTATAATTTTTTGAATGTAAAACTGATGATCTTGTCTGTAAACCTTATCAATTCACAGTAAAAAGTGAAAATAAAATATATTCATTATTAAATGCATTAATAATATTTTTAAATGGGGTATTAGACTTACAATAGACTTAGGAGTTGGCCTAATACATCCTAAGTTGGAACACCATAATAAAATAAAAAATATTGGCAATAACAAAGGCTGGAGAGAATATGGAGAAACTAGATGACTCATATATTGCTACTGGGAATATAAAATGGAGCAACCACTCTGGAAGAGTTTGGCAGTTTAAAAAAATAAATAAGCAAGCAACTATCATGGTCCTGTAATTGTACCCAGAGGAATAAAGACGTATGTTTACAAAGAAACCTGTACAGCAAAGTTTACGACACTTTATTCATAGCAGTGCAAACTAAAAATAACCCAGATATCCTTCAGCAGGTAAACAGTCAAGTAAACTATGTACACCCATACCAATGATACATACAAACCTGGATGAATCTCCAGAGAATTACTCTGAATGAAAAAATGTCAATCCCAAAAGGTAACATAATGTGTATTTCTATTTATATAATATTCTTGAAATGACAAATTTATAGAAATGAAGAACAGACTAGCCAGGGTTTAAGAAGGTGTGGGGGCAGGAGGGAAGTTAAGTGTGGCAGTAAAGGCAACATAAGGGATCCTTGTGAGGATGGAAGTTTTCCGTACCTTGACTGTACACCTTGTATTATTATTGTGATCTGCTTTATCGTACCCTGCAGATATAATTTTTTTTTACAAATATAAAGTCTGTGGTAACCTCATGTCAAGCAAGT